TTTACATTTGTTTATACTGACATCTTTACATTTATCAAATTATGAATTTGTGATTTGATTTAATTTCATCATATAATTAATAACTTATTTTGACTAACATAATTTCAATTAAAATTCTTTTTATACTGACATAGTAATAATCAAAATATTACTTTGATATGTTATTTAATTTTTTTTAAATAATGATTAACATAAGACCCTGCTTGCCAGAACATTAACACGGAACATCATTGTTATCTTGCTGATCCATCTTGTGAAAACATGTAAGTAAATGTGAATTTATTGATTAAATTAAGAATCATCTTGCATGTAGAATTTCTATTAACACACTTATTTTACCCAAATAGCACACTGAATATATCTAGTGAAGAAACAACGAAAGAATTTATATCCAAGTTTACAACAAATCGTGTAATATACAACACAACATCAATGAATGTTCATACAACCAAATTCCAAGAAGATGACTTAACATATGTTTGGGCAATCATGGGAAGTCTTGTTGCTGTATTTGGTCTTATACTGCTGTTGATAACTGTGAGTGTCGTGTGGAAAAGAATGCGCAGAAAGAGAAGAAAAGAAAAAAATGAGTTTTTGAGTATGTCATAAATATAACTAATTTTTTTAGCTTTAAAATAAAAAAATGATAAAATCCTTCTTTTAAATAATGATTTTTTTTTTAAATGAACACCAATATATTATTGCTTGAAAATGTAGTAGTAAGCAGATAGAATATTGATATTATTTCTTTATTTCAGCTGAAAAAGAAAAGTTGTTGATGGAAAAAGAGAAAACAATTGTCCTAGGTATCTTGAAAACGTTCATATTGTTTAAAAAAAATTCATTTGATAGAATGTTGAATAAAATAAAAGAATTCTTAATATGGTATTCCACTGCATCAGATATCGATAAAATAACATCAACAAATATAATAAAAAAAAAAAACAATAGAAATTTTTGATAATTTTATTGGAATATTCTTCACAAAGGGGCAACAAAGAAAGAAGAAGAAACAGGCACCAATAGTAAACAAAATGAGAGTGAAAATGATATTATGGAGATTGATGTATGTAGTGAAAATGATGAAATAAAACAGTGTATCGCGGATGTTTGCATCAGTTATGAGTCAAAGGGCAATAAAATTGTTGATACAAAAACCCGAATCCATAATGATTCAAATGATAAGAAATATGGTATCACTGATGCTGGTGTCAATTGGGAACCAGAGGAGATGAAGCACAGTATATCAGAAACTGGTGTTCATAGTGAACCAGAGGAAAAAGAGCATAGTATTTCAGAGGCTGATGTCAATGGTGAACTGCAGGAGAGAACGTATGATGTCACAGAGGTTGATGTCAATGGTGAACTGCAGGAGAGGAAGCAAGATGTCATAGAGGCTGATGTCAATGGAGAACTGCAGAAATGGGAGCATGATGTCACAGACGCTGATGTCTATAGAGAACTGCAGGTGTGGGAGCATGATGTCACAGAGGCTGATGTCAATGAAGAACTGCAGGAGAGGAAGCATGATGTCATAGAGGCTGAAGTCAATGGTGAACTGCAGGTGTGGGAGCATGATGTCACAGACGCTGGTATCAAAATAGAATCAGAGAAGAGGGAGCATGATGTCACAGAGACTTATATCAATATAGAATCAGAGAACATGGATCCTGATGTCACAGAGGCTGATATCAATATAGAATCAGAGAAGATGGATCATGATGTCACAAAAGCTGATATCAATATAGAATCAGAGAAGATGGATCTTGATGTCACAAATGCAGATATCAATATAGAATCAGAGAAGATGGATCATGATGTCACAAAGGCTGATATCAATATAGAATCAGAGAACAGGGATCATGATGTGAAAGAGGCTGATGTCAATATAGAATCAGTGAAGAGGGATCATGATGTCACAGAGGCTGAAGTCAATGGAGAACTGCAGGAAAGGCATCGTGATGTCACAGAGTCTGGTGTCAATAGAGAATCAGGGGCGAGAATGATAAGGATGCCATGGAACGACTCAAATAGTGAAAAAAGGAAGTTAATGCACTTTTTGCCAAGTTCAGAAAGTAAGAATTCATAAAAATTGGCACCCTTATCTCAGTCCAATATTAGTTTTGGAGAAGAAATGAAATTCTAAATTTTTGAAAAACTGAAACAATATGGAAACCTTACTGAAACTTGCCGTTAAAGTTTCCTATATGAAGTCCGCAATGCAGAATAGTTCAGCAAGTTTCTGTAGGGATTCCCTATACTAAAGCTATAATGTTTGTTTCCTTTGGGTTTCAGGAAAATGGAAAAAAAAACACATAAAATCCAATTAAATACTTTTTTAAATTTTACTAGGGTTAATTTTTCCGGAAACTATTGATTTCGATTCCGTATACTATCACAATGCTGAAACCGAACTGAAATTCATTTCATCATTTTTTGAAGGATAAAAAAATCAACAAACATTCTCTTTTATTGACTATAAAAATGTGTGTGTGTGTGTGTGTGTGTGTGTGTGTTTTCTTAAATTATAATTATTAATATTCAGCTTGCGACCTGTGTCCACTCTGTGAAAAAATCTACATTATGATAGTGATATCAATGATAGACACTGTTATACAAGATTCTTGCCTCATATAAAATATATGTAGTTTATTTTTATATTGTTTTTGTAATAAACTTTTTTATGATATGGATGATTCATGCACCTGGCGGATATTCCTTGTCGGAAAAAACCATAACAATTCACTGTGTAACATAGGGCCTTACAATCTGTACACAGAACGTCAGACTAAATAATATGTTGTTAATGCATTCGATGCAAGGTCTGTGTATCGACCAAAAACTTGCAAAATTATTATATCAAACGAGACTATTAAACTCCCTGTATCAGGAACGTATTGGTCAATAGATTGCTTCATGTAAGAGAACATGCTGCATATCGAATCAACCAAAATGAAACCTTATATGCGGTCAAAAATGCTACACAAGTAAGGCATCAATAAAAAAAATGCTCGTGTGTTTTACTCTATCGAGAAGAGTTTTTACCCCCCCCCCCCAAAGAATATATATTACAAATAAGTACCCTATATAGTTTTCGCTAGTGCGTGTTGATAAAAGATATTTATAACTGTGTCTGCTTGAGGAAAAAAAATCATGGGTTATTCTGGATCATAAAATGATTAAGATATAAAAACTTTGAATATCATAATATTTATGACAAAGGACTCTATGCATAGATATGTTCTTGAATATAAACTGACTGAATATATGACGCAACATTAAAAAGGCTCATATGTACTATGAGTTCCTGTATTCCAGCTTACTTTGAAATCTATTTTACAAGTTAAGGTGGCCGACATCAAAATGTAATTCTAGATTTATCAAATAAAGTGTTAAGGACGTTCGATCCTGATATTTTGAGCGTATTTCGCGCAGGTCCTTTATTCATAAAATTAAGCATCATTTTTCGGTTCTAACAATAAAACTGAATTCTACAATGCAAATTAAACTATATTCAATGAAAAAACCGCGATTAAATTCCATTCAAGTAGAATTAATCTAGGGACTATATTTTGTGGCGGAAGGTTTTTGAGACGAAAATGGTCGGTTTTTTCCATTTGAATTATAACAGCACTGCTAATTTTGGATGCCTATTTTTCCATGATGGTTACACACAAAGCTGTTTTTTGCGGTGAAATATGTTATGCTGGTTCTGAAATATCTATTGAATTATTTCTTATGAATTTTAGCAACAAAGTGTGACAAATATAGTAAATATATTTTGAAAAACCGGGAAAAAATTGAGCCAATTTTAGCGTAAATTTCACACTTTTTCAGTAATATTTGAAAATGTACATCATATACCCCCACTTTTGATGTCCATTTCTGAATATTCAAGATAACTTTGACCTATTTGCTTAAAATCAGAAATAGTTAAAGACTTTAAAATAATTTTCTTGCTTATTATATTTTCAATGCCCGAAAAATAACATTTGATTAGTGCAGAAAGATCAAATAATTGATTATGCGAAGCAATTTGAAACTTTTTCTTAGTCACAATTTTTTAGTGTCTTTTTTTAAACAGATTTAGAGTTCAGTTTGTTTCGTGCTTTAACTGAATAAAAATATTGCAGGAAAAACGTCAAAGATGTAATTTTTAATTAAGACACAAATTTCAGTGCAAAAAGGTCATATTAAATGTACTGTAGCGCTAAAAGAAGCATATTGACCCCTATTTTTTGATTTAAATTTTAATTCTAAGCTATGTATGTAGAAACTAAAAATATACTTGGCAAAAAAAGCTTAAGACTTTAAATATCAGGATCGAACGTCGTTAATAGTTATATTGCTTTATTTCTAAAGTATTCATGTACCATTATCTCTTGCAGATGGACGATGCGTGGGTGGGTACTACGTTTGGAGGACAAAGATATCAGGTGATCAACTTCTGTACATTATAAATCAAATTACATTTATAAGGGGATTCTGTAAACCAACATTTATTTTTTTTTAGAGAAATTCTCAAGTTTTGCCACCAACTTCGCAAATATAAATTGCAACGAACAGTTTTTGTTGCGTTGTAATGGTAATAATGTTTTCTAAGCCATGAATTGATTTTTAACAGTCGAATCTCAGATAAACGATGAAACAATTACTAGTTCAACGACAGTTACTGCAATATTTAAAAAAAAATTAGCGTCAAATAATAAGTTTATTTTGTTTTACGACAAAACATAACGGCAATTGAATTTTTTTTTAAAAATTGCATCATGTTTATTTTATTCTTGGCAGCAAAACTGAGGTCTTTAAATTTCAAGAATTCGTTTATGTAACTGTTCAATTGTAGTTCTGCATTTTTGTCTACATTTGTTTCTTTTATACAACATTATTTCTGCATGCTTCTGTTTTTCTCCTTTGTATCCTTATATCAGTCCTATTAAATCCAATAGACCCTGTTTGTATTTTAAGGATAGTTTTTCTAAACAACTACTTTCCCGACGAAACGGGATTTAGAGGCAAGAGCCTGCTCAACAATAACACTTTGATCCATGTGATTTGGCATGATTTAAGAAACATCTGAAGGGAAAAACTTTGGAAAATCATACTATATTCTTTAAGAATCACTTTAAGAAAAGCATATAATGTAGGTAATTAGACTAAGGGGAATCTTAAGATTAGAAAAATTAGAACATTAATTACAAAAAACAAATGTTATTTGTAATTTGAATAAATTAAGTAAATCGTTTCCGAGAACTTGGGTGCACAAAATTGGTACGCATAGAGAAACAGGATAGTGCAAAAGAATAACAGTTAGGTCTTCCGAGGAAAGACCTAAATTATATGTATAACCCTCTCTCTCTCTCTCTCTCTCTCTCTCTAACACTTCAGCATCAACAGTGGGGGCATGGTGGAAGGTGTGTTGCCCCCTATTTTTCCACGTTCTAAGACCATTTAACAAAATTAGGCTGATATTATTTTATCAATCGCTTGTAAAATGTACATTTATAATTAAACTAAGCACAAAATCGTGAGATATTAAGTCATATTTAAATTCTGATCTACTTGACTTCCACGACATTTATTTATTTATTTAGTTTTGCAATCGAAACTATATACGTATTGAATTCCGGTTAACTCCCCTCCTCACCATACCCTCCCCTCCACAAAATAGGATTTTTGAATTTGGACAACCCTCAACCCCTCCCGCCTTCTTTCCTTAGGTTTAAGGTAGTTGCTTTAACCTTGGAAAAACCCTACTTGATTTTATTGTCAAACAAGAAAGTCCAAGATCGAATTTATATATAGAATAGAATAGTTTTGCGTTGAATTGATGTCCTGAAGTCATTTTCCTTCTTGAATAAATTGTACAATAGACATTATAATTTGTCTTTCGCTAGTCAAAACATTTTGTTAACATTCTTAATCATACTTTTTCTGAAATACAAAATAAAGTTCTATAACGAATTCACTGCTGCATTCTCGCGAACTATTGGTGACATAAGTTTTAAGCATTGGTTTTTAGAGAGCAAAAACAAATCGAAAGGGAAAAGAATTTTAAAAAAAAACACTGCGTTAGCGCGGTTGCAAAGTTAAATTACGCAAACAAACATTGGGAGGAAAAAAATGACAAATTTATTCTTAACGCAGATTACGTAATTTTTTTACGCTTATTTTTCGGGGTTATAGTTTTTCATTAAATTGAAATAAAACATTTTACATTTTGGTGTTCCTAGAGTATTAAAAATGCATCTAGTTCCTACGGTGTATTCTAACGCGCGGTGACAAGGTTTCGTGTGTAATATAGAAATTTGAACGTCGTGGATTTCTAATGGTTTTCATAAGGAAAATTTCACTGAATGTAAATATTATATTTTTAGATCAGTTTTCCACACTGACTGATGACGAAGTGTCCGTGTTATTCTGTTTTCTATGTTCTGACTCCGGTCCTCCTGACTTCACTGACACAGAGTGGCTGGACTTGCTTAATAGGATACGACAGGAAATGTGCCGTAAATATAATCCTGTAAAACGTAAGAAAGCTCAACAGACACTGGATAGACTGAAGTCACATGATTACCTTTGGGAAAATCAGGACAAGGTAACGAAGGACACAAAGGATGAGACAATGTATAGAATAGCAATAACAGACAAAAATATACCATTCTGTTACAGTAGTTATGACACAGCCAGTATGTACCTGAGATCAGAGAGATACAACAGAAAACCTGGAGAGAAGTGTGTCATTTGTAATGACTATGATCGCTTACTGATACGCCGTCTACAAATGAACATACTGACTCACGTCACCATGGAGGACACGAGGATATATGATGAGATATACCAGATATGTAAGTCAGTGTAAAGGATGTAATTAATCCCGAATTTAGAAAATGTTTAAACTCATATTTATTTCTGAAGATTAAGATAATATACATCATGATATTAAGATTCTGATACTTTTATTTATACTTCACGGGGCATTTTATAAAAATTTAAGAGTCTGAAGATTCACAAAAGATATTGTTCATTTAATGGTTTTACTTTTTATCAAACTCATTTCTTACTTGTTTTACCTTTACATGTATGTAATTTTTATTTATTTCATTTATTAAAGATTAAAGACTGAGTTTATACGATATAATTCGATATTCATTTTTTTTTCTTCTACAGTGAATGTTTCAGAAAAAATACTTAGGGAAAGTGACGATCAACGGAAAGAATTCTTAATGGATCAAAGAAGAGAAGTTGAGGCTATATATTACAGAGGAAGATCACAGGACAGTGTAAATCACGTGAGGTGGCTCTGGAGATACCTGAATCCTAGACCTGACATCGTGAGATCCTGTATAGGTCTACATCAACACTGGGACATTTACATCATCGACAACAAAGCTTACAGAAAACCATGTAAGATTAAAAATATGCAGAATAGTATATACGTACATGTAATATTATATAAGAATCCCTGATCTAGTACAACTTTTATTTATGCCTGCTTTCAAAAGATAAAGGTTAAAAAAATCCCGTTTTATGGTAATCGTTCACTTACACACTGAGAAAAACTCAGAATAAATGAAATTGATCATATATGCTGGTCGAAATCTGTAAAAATTTTAATTTCCTTAAATGCATGTATACAGTATTTCATATAAGAATATTTATAATATATAGTATACCATGATCATGAATTTACCGAAAAACAAATCTTTTACAAGGCAATTTGATAGTTAAATATAGAATACTTTGAATGACATAATCTTTATGAATATTAAGTTGGTTTGTAACTGCTTTTGTGAAGAGGGGTGTTGCAACCACTATTGCAATAAAGACCACGTACTATTGAAATAATTGTATCAGTACACATGTAGTGGTTGAGAGTGCATTTCAATAGTTACTACTTAGTTCTAGTTGTAGCATAATACATCCATGTTTCGTTTAATAATACATTTTACCAACACATGCTTGTTCTACTTATTTATTAGATTAAAGACATTTACGCAAGCCAGACAGTTTAAATATATATTCAATGTGTATGATTTTGTTAATTAACAATCCCATCGGACCTAGGGTGTGCAATTACCGATGACCGGAGCTACCAATTTTAGAGGTCGGGTTATCTTAAATCTATACTGCGTTAGCCCATCGGGCTAGTAAATCTAAAACGAAAGTAAACTTATATTTACCTCGACTGAATTGAGGTATGAATTAACTTTTCTGTAAAATCATAATCTTAAATTCGTTTTAACATATATGCTTTGTGTGTTCCTATCGCCAGTCTTCTCAGTGACAATTATAGTCGATATTAGCCTGGTCCCGTTTCATCCTTGCCTAGTGACGCGGAGTATACGAAGCAAAACAGGGACAGGGAACCAGGCTAAGAACGAGTGCCCTTTTGATTGGCATTCAGCAGGAACCTGGGCATACTTGAAAAGTGAAAATTTTATTGACACGTCACATGAAATTTTAACATTTTTTTTTTATTTATCGGGTTCCTGTGCAACAGGAAAGGAAAATATTTTCCCGAAATTGAGCTTTGATTTGCTAAAAAATAACTTGAAAATTGGCCATATCAGACATTTGGTACAAAATGGTACTTTTTTAAACACATTTTTCTAAAAATTTTCTATGTCTGGCTCTTCTCTCAATGATTTTGAAACGTTATTTGTGTGTATTTTAATTCAAAGAAACGAATACACTTTTTTTAAAAAATGGAGAGAAGACCCAGAGACCACGAAAAATGAGCTTTTCCCCAAAAAATCCAAATGTGTCAATTTGGTGCGTCTTTGTTTTTTTTAAAACATATGTTTTTGTGTAGCGATGATAGCTCAGTAAGTTAGGCTACCAGTTCAGTGCACTCGAAGCGAGAAGTTTTTGGTTCGAGCCTGGCATGGGGCGTTATTTTTTTCATTCAGGCAAACAACCATTTATTTTGTCAGTTTCATTTTATGTACTGATGTTTTAAAGTATAGAATTAGATAAATTTTGGTTCAGTTTTGTTCTCAAGCGAAATCAATTCTAATCTTCTATTTCAATAATATACATGAACACGTATCATGCATCTATGCATTAAATATTTTAGGTTCAATTTTTTGTGAAACATTACTATGTTATAGTAGCCCCTAGAAAAAAAAAATGGATATAAATGTTACAATTTCACAATGTCTTTCAAACTAAATGAAAAAAAATAACCTATGCGACGTGTTTGTAAAATCTGACCAGGTATGTTCAGCCAACCAAATCATGGACATTTAAACCATAAATGTTTCGTACAAATGATTCCTGCAGGTCATCCGCCAAATGCGATATATATATATATATATATATATATATATATATATATATATATATATATATATATATATATATATATATATATATATATATATATATAGGGGGAAGCACCTGACAATTACAAAGCGCAAACCATTATTTCTTTTATTTATTTCAACTTAAATGTTTTTTTTAACCTTTATGTTATATTTATGCATGACATGTTTTGTTTTCGGTCGTTAATGAATTAGTGACTGGCAACGTCGGGCTAAGAACTTTGTTACAAAAATAAATTACCAGCCCATCGGGCTAGTAATTTATTTTTGTAATTGCACACCCATGGGACCTCTTGAATTTTGAATTTTACTGACCCATTTTGCATGTCATTGTGCATTACTTGTGACAAGCCTTTTTGTTGAGTTTGATTATGCAATTGAAGATGATATACATTGTCATAACTGTTGATATAGAGCTGTGATGCACTTTTAAGAAGCAGTAACTTTTATCAAATGAAAGAGTCTGTTATAATTCAAAACAGTTGAGCTCTTTTCCCTACCCACCCCCCCCCCCTTAAAAAAATTTGTCAAATTTTATGAAATACCACAATAGTTACATCTTGGTGCATGTGTGTAATTTGGATGATTACACCAAAAATATTTGTCAGTAAGTGTTCGATACATTTATATGGTACATATAATTTCTGGAAATGTGTGACACATCTTAAAGGTAAGTTTTATGTAAAAATGGTTTACCAATTACATGTAACTGCATCCCTCTTTAAATGATTGTATATTGTGTGACGTCCCTCTCAAGAATTTTTCACTTATATGAAGACGCAACCACTTGCTGGTGGGCAGCTGCACTTTTTTCCTGTACTGTGCACTAGCGGCTAGTGAGCAGGGAGAGATCTTTTTTAATCCCAACACCCACTGCGACACAGGATCTCCGTTTATACGGTCTCATCCAAAGGACCTTCTTTCAATGAATTTTGGCATATGTTTTGCATGTAATTATGCCCCCTTTCGAAGAAGGGAGGGCATATTGCTTTGCTGCTGTCTGTCTGTCAGTCAGTCTGTCGGTTCACTCAGTTTCCATTCATTTTCTTTGCAAACATTGCACATACTGAAATGAAATTTAATATACAGATATATCACATGAATATCTAGGTCAAGTTCTGCTTTTGGTAAGATCGCACCATTTTGACAGAGATATGCCCTTTGAACTTAGAAAATTTCAATTATTTGCAGTTTCCCTTCATTTCCTTCGCAACCGTTGCACATACTGAAATGAAATTTAGCACATACCGAGATGAAATTTAGTATACAGATTCATCAGATGAATATCTAGGTCAAGTTCTGTTTTGGGTACAATTGCGCCATTTTGACAGAGTTATGCCTCTTGGACTTAGAATTTTTTTTACTTATTTGCAGTTTCCATTCATTTTCTTCACAACAATGGCACATACTGAAATGAAATTTAGCGTACAGATTTATCAGATGTATTTCTAGGCCAAGTTATGTTTTGGGTACGACCACACTATTTTTTTCACAGAGTTATGTCCCGTGAACTTAAAAAAAATCAATTACATGCAGTTTCCGTTCTTTTTCTTTGCAAAGGTTGCACATATTAAAATGAAATTTGGTAAAATGATTTATCAGATAAATATCTTGGTCAAGATCTCTTTTTGGTACAATCGTACCATTTTTGACAGAGATGTGCTCTTTTGGACCTAGAAAAATTCTAATTTGGGGGGAGGGGGTATATATATGTTTATTTTACAAACATCTCTTGTTTTGAAAGTGTCCGTGATGGCAGCATTATTAATGTGAGAATGTTTGTATGTATCAAGTATAGGCTTCTCTAATCAATCTTTTAAAGGATAGATTATAACAATCTTACATTTTTTGTAGATCACAAGATGCTTAGGAAGAAGACTTGGAAGAAAGCTGCTGTGAAGAAGACGAATTCTTCTAAGGCAGATGTGGGTGACAAGTACCCAACAGATGTTGGCCACGTCCAACCATCTGTGCCTCTGGGTGTAGGCCACGTCCTAACACCTATGACATCTGTACCGGCAAGGGTGATCTCTACCACCCCTGTGACAGTGGTCTCTGCAGCTTTCCCTGAGATCACTTTGAATCAGAATTTATCTCAGATTATTACTCAGAATTCATCTCAATTGCTTACTCAGAATATCCCTCAGATTACAACTCAGAATATTACTCAATTTACAATGAACAATGTTCCAAATGAAACAACACATGTACTGCAAGGAAATTGTATGCATGAGAATTCAGATAATGTGGTGTTTTTGTCTTTCCATTAAGGAAGCATGAGGTTTTCATCATTTTCAAGAGGTAATCAGTGTACATGTAATTCATTTATGATGTTGTCAAATTCATATGAAATATTTTCGTTCAACAAAAATCAAATTCAAACTCTACATGAATGTCTGCAACAGGCTCTGGGGTCTAGATATGTAATAATAATGATTGGCTCCATATGTTCAGCACTGTACAAAGCTTCAGACGATAATTTTTATTTTTTGACTCACATTCTCATGGCGAAAATGGTTTGTCAGATTGTGATGGAAAGTCTCTGATGAGACACAGTTGCTGCCTAGATGATTTGTTAGGGTTTCTGTATGCAATGTATGAAAGTATGCACATTGAATTTGCATCGGAATTTGAAGTGATGCCTGTTGCCTTTCATACACTAATTCATAGCTTTCCAAGCAATAATCAAAGTATACATCAATATTGTAGATTAGATCAGTCAACAACAACTGCTTTCACAAACAAACAATCTGTTGGTAGTAATACTGGGCACTTAAAAGAAACAGAGATAAAGAAAGATGAAAAGGATTACATGAGAGAATATATGAGAAACAAGAGACAAGATCCAGAGTTTAAAGACAATGAAAGGGACAGTAAGAGAAATAAACGACAAGATCCATAGTTAAAAGGAAAAGAAAGGGACAGCAAGAGAAACAAGAGACAAGATCCAGAGCTTAAAGACAAGGAAAGAGATAGGATCAGAAACAAGAGACAGGATACAGAGTTTAAAGAAAAAGAAAGGAACAGTAAGAGAATCAAGAGACAAGATCCAGAGCTAAAGACAAAGAAAGAGACAGTATG